CTTCCTGTTAAGATGAAAATTCAAAAGCAGGGAGCAGCGGTGACAAATTAAAACAACATGCCCTGGTGTCGCCGTATCTCAAAAAAGCACAGGCAGACGGTGCTGTAGAAGAAGACGAGTTGGCTTTATACCCCGCCCTTCAAAGTCTCAGAGCAGCTTACAATGTCTTTCCCTTCCCCTCCCCACAACAGACACCCTGGGAGGTAGGCGGGGCTGAGAGAGCTCTGATTGAGAACTGCCCTTGGGAGAACAGCTCTGAGAGAACTGTGACTGACCCATGGCCACACCAGCAGCTGCATGTGGAGGAGTGGGGAATGAAACCCGGTTCTCCCAGATTAGAGTCCACCACTCTTAACCACTACAACAAACTAGTTAGGGAATCAGATGAGACGGGGAGACCCAGCTTCGAACACCCAAGCTCACTAGGCAATCCGGCCCAGTCACTCTATTTGAGGCTCACCACCCACCCACAGGGCTGTTGGGGCGGAGGAAGGGAGGGGACCAGTTCTGGAGGAGAGGTCCACCAGTGGCTACTAGCCATGCTGACTAAAGGGACCTCTCCAGAGTCAGAAGCAGCAAACCTCTCAATCCCAGTGCCAGGCCACCGCCAGAGGGAAAGGTCTTGGACTCTATGCTCTGTTTGCTCCGGGGCACCCGGCTGGCCACTGCGTGGAGCAGTTTTCTGGACTAGACAGGCCACTGATCTAATCCTGCAGGGCTCATCTTAGGAAGGATCACCCTGAGCTCTCAGATGGAAGGGCGGGATAAGAATGTAACAGAAACATGGCCCGGGGGGGGGGGGGGGGGGGGGAGCTTTTTGAAGTTCAGTGGCACCCTGAAGACCAACAAAGTTTAAGTCTGGGTATAAGCTTTCATGTGCAGGCACACTTCAAAGAATCATAGCATCATAGACCTGGTAGGGACCTCCAGGGTCATCTAGTCCAACCCACTGCCCAATGCAGGAAATTCACAAATACCCCCCCACACACACACACACCCAGTAACTGTTGTTCCATGCCCAGAAGAGGGCAAAAAAAAAACAACCCTCCAGGATCTCTAGCCAAACGGCCTGGAGAAAAATGGCTTCCTGACCCCAAAGTGGTGATCAGCATTTCCCTGGGCATGTAAGAAAGGGCCACGAGAACTAAGCACTGATGCAACCCTTCCTGCCGTCCCTCTCCTGCTCTGCCTAAATTCACAGTTCACTTCATCCGATCACACTTCATGCACATGAAACCTTATACCCAGAATTAGACTTTGTTGGGTCTTCAAGGTGCCACTCGACTCAAACCTTGTTCTCCTGCATCACACCAACGCAACCACCCACCGGAATCCCTTTTCATGGGAGTTCCACAGGTACAGCTTTTCTTGCTCTCAAATACTGTGGATGGTAAAAGCTGAATCGGTGAAACACTTGATGTTCCTCACAATTCTTGAAAAGGACAGAAGTCCGGTACCTGTTGGAATATGGGTGTTCTGGGAATCAGAGACTATTTGGCAGGTAGGGATTCTTCAACTAGGGCAAACCCCTCCCCCACACACAGGTGAATTAATGCAAAGGAGGACAGAACTCTTGTACCTGTCTAACAGATGTGTGGCAAAGGTCTGCATCAAGTTTGGCTCCTCTCATTCCCGTGTGAGAAGCTCTACCTGTCCAAATGGCCTTTTTTAACACCTCTGTCAAGAAGATACCTGTTCACAGCAAAGAATCCACGCTTGCTAAAATTCCTTCTGCCCAGACCCGTAGCCAGGACTTTGTGGCTTGTGGGGCAATTTTTTTCCTGGTGGGGCTGAAGTTCTCAGTACAGAAAGAAAAAGCCATTTAGCCAATAGAAAGTGATTCCCAGGATAGATCTCTAAATTGCAAGCTGTCAGCCACTTTCGATGACAGTTCTCAGCTGTTGCAAGTTAACCACTTCTGCCAGCCTAAGCAAGAATTCTGATCACAAGCTGCCAAGTGGGGGTGATGACTCCTATAGGCAAGAAAGTTAACACTGAGACAGAAAAACTCTCTTCAAGGAGATCAGTTTCTTGACACAGAGTTAGAAGGGATCCTAGAGGTCACCTACTCCAACCCCCTTGCTCAGCGTGGGAATTAGTCAACTACAGCACCCCACTCTGCTTAAGGGAGCATTCGCCTTTAAAAATATGCTTTTAAAATGATTGAAAAAAGCATTTACAGGAGAAATCATCGTGGGGCGGTGCTTCTAAGAAAAGGGGCGGAGCCCCCAAAAGCCCCACTGTAGTTACAGGCCTGCTTCTGCCACACAGCTATTAAAACTGAAGGTCTCCAAGGTTGGGCAGGGAGTTTATACTGGAGATGGAAAGCAAGTCTTAAGAGACAAGAGTATTTGTCCACAGAAAGAAGGGCAGGGGACAAAGCAAGAAAAACAGCAGCAAGTAGATTTCATCCACATCACCCCCTCCACACACGTACACACACACTAAGCAAGGATAGTTAAAATATTCCGCACTAGACCTGCTGGCTTTCTCCCCAGCACTGCCCAGGCTCACAAGCACAACCAACAACATCGGGAGGTTCTACCAATCGTTCTTTTTCTCTTTCAAGATGGCTCATCCACCAGTCTGCAGGCTAATCGCTCTCTGATAATGGACTGGATTGCCCCCTTGCTGCATCTCAGTGGCTGTGATCCGGCAGCCGCACGTCCCTCACTTCCTTGTGTAGATTCACAGTGGAACTGGCACAGTCAAGGGTATGCCCGGTAGGACTGAAATGGCTTCTGGACAAGAGACCTTCGGTGAGCCCCCTCAACAATTGAGGGACAGAGGGGGGGGGGGGTTCCACAGGGGACACCTCAGAGTCATCCAACAAGATGGCTTACGCTAACCAAATCAAACTTGTTTAAAAGTCATCTTCCAGCTCTCTATGTTCTGGGGTCCCCAACCTTTTTGAGCCTCTGGCCACCTCTGGAATTCTGACCTAGCATGGTGGGTGCAGGCACAAAATGGCTGCTGCGGGATGCGGAGCCAGCCACAAAATGGCTGCAGTCTGCCTTCAGTCACAGAGTGAAGAAGAAGAAGAAGAAGATTGGATTCATACCCCACCCTTCCCTCGGCGTCTCGGAGCGGCTTACAATCCCTTTCCCCTCCCCACAACGGACACCCTGTGAGGTAGGTGGGGCTGAGAGAGCTCTTTTGACAACTGCTCTTGAGAGAACAGCTCTGAGAGAATTTGTGACTGACCCAATGTCACCCAACTGGCTGCATGTGGAAGAGTGGGGAATCAAACCCGTTTCTCCATCTTAGAGTCCACCGGCCTTAACCACAACACCAGACTGGCTCTCCTTGTACTGTGGTGGCAGCTCTGGTCCAAGCAATGTTTTTAAAGAATCTGCACAGCCAAGCAGAATTCCAGTGGCCTATCAAGAAGCCTTGCTGGGCAAAGCCCCCACCTGGCCCCCCCTCCCACTTTTCTGTGAGCCAGTTTGGTGTAGTGGTTGAGTGCACGGACTTTAATCTGGGAGAACCGGGTTTGATTCCCCACTCCTCCACTTGCACCTGCTGGATGACCTTGGGCAAGCCATAGTTCTGTCAGAGCTGTCCTTGAAAAAGAGCAGTTTCTGTCAGAGCTCTCTCAGCCCCACCTACCTCACAGGGTGTCTGTTGTGGGGAGGGGGAGGGAAAGGAGTTTGTCAGCCACTCTGAGACTCCTTTGGGTAGTGAAGGGAGGGGTATAAATCCAATCTCTTCTTCCTCTTCTTCTAAAAACACTTGATGGGTACCATGGCACCCATGGACCTCTTGTTGGAGACCCCTCTGAATATCGTGCCATTATTATCTGCATTAATACAGAACAACCCCCCAGTACGGACTACCTGATAGTGAAACCAAAGACCTTTGAGCTCCTCAGTGGGCCCACTTTGTTGCCCTCTGGAAGCAGCCATGTTACCCGATGACCTCAAGAGACAGATCCTTTACTTTACAAGAGTCATCACAGAGAAATGGTGCATGATCGGGGGGCGGGGGGAGCGTCTGAATTTTTATTTCGGAAAGAGACATTTCAATACATTACTGACCTACGCTCAGCTACACAACGTCCTTCAAAGGCGGCATAACTGGCAGTAACAGAAACACCTGTGATATGTCTACCCCTTATACTTTCCCATCAATTAAACACTTCAAAGGGCCGACCGTATACCGTATTTCATCGGGGGTTCGCTTTTTGGTGCTGTAGTTTCCAAACTGACACTTGGTATTGCTTTCTTTCTTTTTTTTAATAGAGTGACCCATGTTTAACAATAAGGAAAATAAAACCAACATTAGGGACAAAGAGCAGGAAGGAAAGCGAACCGCACTCGTTGATAACCCAAAGAGATGTCCCACATCTCCCCCTCCATCAAAAAAACCCCAGGGAGTCCCTAGCATAACCCCCGTTTTAAAGTCACATGGGAAGATGGCCACCATTCGCAGGCACCCTTCCTTGGGAAAGGCAGCCCATATTCTGGACTCTTTAAAGGGCTGAGGCCTTTTAGGTCGACGGCTTCCCTGTAGGATGCCACTGCTACTTTCCAACACGGGGCTATGAATTTCTGGCTCCCTCCTTCCTCTTTCAGCTCACCTCCCTCCAATCCCACTTGATCCCCTCAGCAAAACGGCTGGACCATCCCCAGGTTTGATTTCCAAAGAGGATTCCACTTATTTCTTTATGCTACCGAACTCATCAGGAGATCGGTCAACGGAACGTTGGCCACAAATCTTGCTTTGTTGTGTTTGGTTCCCCCCCGCCCCTTACAGGGTAACAAAAGCCACACTACCCATCCTTTAGTTCTGTATAAACTACTTGGAGAAAATGTATTATGTACGTTGTAAGGGAAGGCAACAGAATTTAAAGAGACGGCCTGGGTCCCCAATGGGCCCCCCCTTGCCTTATAGGTGTCTCCCACAAACTGAACAATCCTCTCCCCAGAAGAAGTCTTTCCTCCTCCATATACTAGCCTAATTGGATTAAGAAGATGAGGGAGATCCCTTTGGGTTTGCTCTTTTTTTAATGAACATGGCACTGTAAAAGGGAGCATCTGCTCAAGCACAGAAGCATGAATCTCTCAACATCAAAAATCAGGCTTGCTTTTGGACGACGACAGCGGCCGCCCGAGGCCCAGAGTAGCTTCCGGAGTTGAATGTAGCAGTTCCTCGTTTGTTCTCCTTAGTCCAGAGGGCGGGGCGGGGACCGAATCAACAAGCGCATCGCTTCTCTTCCGTTTTCGCCGAATCCAGTTTCCCCGAACTGCCCCCGTTGGCTGTGTCGGAGACTTGGTTTTTGTCAACGCACTGCTCCATGCGCTTCATTATCAAGTCCAAGAGCGTCTCCACCGCCTTGTCTATGTTTTGGCCGGTCGCTGCACTGGTTTCAAAGTATGGGATACTAACGCGAGAAAAATGCAATGATAAAAACTGTCAAATTAAATGCTTTCAAAAAGGAATGTTTCTTTTTTTAATCCTTTTTTTTGGTATTTTTTTCGTGTGTGTGCGCACGCGCACCAGGAAGTCATGGCAACCTCTGGTGACTGACCCCCTACTGGGGCCCCGGAGGATATTCAGAGAGGTGGCTGAATAAAGCCTGCCCCCGCCTCCCAACTACTGGTATTCCAAGGAGGTCTCCCATCCAAGTACTTGCCAGAGTTGGCCCTGCTTCGTTTCTGAGATCTGACGAGACCAGGCTCGCCTGGGCTACCCAGGTCAGGGCAGGGACATTACTGCATTTGTAACCTGCTCCTCCACCCAAGGATCACAGAGAGGGGCTTCCTTCCAAGCAGCTTAGATGGCCAGAACTCCTTGACTTCAGCAAGTGTGGAAAGTATCGTGTGCCGTCACACCCCTCTGACCATGTGGGCTCTGCAGCAAAACAGTTCAACTCTGGCTTCTCCTCCTCTGCAAGTCAGAATGACCCCAACAAAACTTCTAGAAATGTATAACTGCAGGTTCTGCAAGGAACGGATAAAACGAAGACCTGCTCCACTGAAACCTACAAATAAAATGCTTTGAATCTTTATCAGACTCCCAATTGTAACCAAAAAAGCACTTCTTGGGCGGCATTGCACACCCCGTATAAGAGAACAGATCAAGATGGGGTAGCCATGTTAGTCTGTCGGTCGCAGTAGGAAAGAGCAAGAGTCCAGAAGCACATTAAAGACTAACCAAATTTGTGGCAGGGGATGAACTTTTGTGAGTCGCTGCTCGCTTCTCACAACCGTGGTATCTGAAGAAGTGAGCAGTGACTCACAAAAGTTCATCCCCTGCCACAAATTTTGCTAGTCTTTAAGGTGCTGCTGGACTCTTGCTTTCTCCTAATGGATATGAGAAGTTTCCGTGGTACGATTTAAGATTCTTGGATGCCCACAGGAAATTTAAGCAACTGCTTAATTCTATGGGTTTCAATTGTACACAACTTTAAATTTTTTGACCTTTCATGACTCCCCCTCCCATGGCACGACTGAAACCATCACATATCGCTGTGGACTTGAACCAAGAAAAGGTCTCCTTACCCATATTTGTCTGCCAGATCTTTCGCTTGTCTTTCATTGACCTCCCTCTGATCCGACAGGTCGGCTTTATTTCCAATTAATACTATATCTGGATTCTCACAATATGCATTTGCTTGGAGCTGACCTGAAGAAAACAGAGATGTTGAAAATGCTATTTGGAGACAGATTAGAGCATTTCTGCCTCATTCGCACACCAGGATATTTATTCAGAACAATCAGGAGGTCAGTTGTGACCTAAGACAGACTGTACATTCCAAGAATTTAACGACATGGGAGAGTCCACAGAGGCCACGCATCATGGAAATTCCTCTCTCTCTCTCAGCATAATAAAGCAGAATTCCTTGGCACCTAAAAGGGTTATAAAGTTTATTCCAAATATAAGCTTTTTGTGCGTCAGCACTCACTTTATAAAATGCACGCGGGGTAGAAAATCTTTACACAGTGATTTTTATAACCAAAGAATTTGGGGGGGGGGAGAGAAAGAGGATTAGGGAATGGCACTTGTAGAAGAGAAGAAACCTGTTGTAAATCATTCAGGTGTGAGACCTTGCCTCTGTCGCATCTATTTATTTCATATTTCAAGGGTTCAAAGCACTTTATGTTGATTATCACCAGGCCAAACTACAGCCCCTTCCACCTTACCATTCTAAACCAGATGTTATCTGTGTTGGCCAGATTCCAAGTAAAGCGATACAGGGATGGGTGTGTGTGTGTTTCATACGGCAAACATCATTCCGTTAACCTCCTCTGAAGCGCTCTGGCCATTTCAAACGGGGCTGCTTCCCCTCCCCTTTTCATTGTGTGGTCTTTCTTGAGTTTCTTTTTAAAACATCCTATAACAAATGGAATCTCAATGTTCCCCCCCCCCCGCAGCACTGAAGCCCTGCTATAGCGCTCAACTTAGAAAGTTTAAAAAAAAATGTGAGAAAGACAGCACAGCAAAAAAGGGAGGAGGGGGGAAGAGCACCACTATCAGAAGCGCTGCAGACATTTCAAACAGAAGAAGAAGATTGGATTTATACCCCGCCCTTCGCGACCCGAAGGAGTCTCAGAGCGGCTTACAATCCCCTTCCCTTCCCCTCCCCACGACAGACACCCTGTGAGGTAGGTGGGGCTGAGAGAGCTCTTTCGAGGACTGCTCTTGAGAGAACAGCTCTGACAGAACTTGTAACTGACCCCAGGCCACACCAGCAGCTGCATGTGGAGGAGTGGGGGGATCAAACCCGGTTCTCCCAGATCAGAGTCCGCGCTCCTAACCACTACACCAAACAGCACACTACAGTGATTCAGAAGTGCAAAGAAGAAGTGAAAACAGAAGAAAGCAAATAGAATCCCATTGTCCTATTAAAAACGGTGGGAGCTAGACTGTAACTTGATGCTGTCGGATCAAAGCTGTTTGCAAATCCGGAGATCGAATATACTCTCTTCTCGGATAATGTGTGTAAGGGTTCAAACATTTAAAAAACTAACTCACTGGTATCGTACTCCAAAGAAGCTATCGCATATCCCTGAGTCATACTCACTGAGACATTGGGGAAAGTGGGGAGAGACAGGGACAATTGTGCATTGCTGGTGGCAATGTGCGAAAATAAAAAAATCCTGGCGATTAGTGTTGGACGAGGTAAAGTTAATTACTGGGTATATTGTGCCTTTGACACCTGAGGTATTGGCTTTTAAAACATTGGTTGGATGATTCAGTCCCTCATGTTAGGAAGAAACTGATTGTCGTCCTTTTAGTAGCGGCTAAAACGTCAACAGCCACAACTTGGAAATGTTCAGATGCACCAACACTTACTTTGTGGCATCGTAAGTTATGGGAAATATATATAATGGACAAAATTACTTATCAAGTGAATAAATATGAATCTCATCACACTTGTTCTGATGTTGTTGAAGTCCATTGTGTTAGGATATTTGGCGCAACTTGAAGTGGTTCCGAAGAGCTTAACATCTTTGATTTTAATATCATTGTGTATAACCTGTAAGATGCTGTATGGTATTGCTTTGTTTATACAAGATTTGGTGTTTGGGGACTTACTATGATAACTTGTAAACAGAACCATTTCGAGTTAGTAGTATATAATACATGTATTGTTTATAAAACGTTAAATAATAAGATGGAAGAAAGCAGCTGACATCGGAAACGGCCCGGCCCCACTTTGCCAACGGGACGCAAGCGGCTTTGTACGGAAAGGTTAATTAAGTCTGTTAATTAAGTCTGTTAGCAGCCGGTTGCCAAAACAGATGACAAAGACTGTCTGAAAGGGGCTTAGATGTGATGAGGGTGGTAGGGAATCTACATTTATTTATTTCTCAACATGTTCATCTGCAAGGCGATGATGAGGATGGGGGGGGGATGAAGAGGGACATAAAATCAGCCCTGTGACCACCTCTGTGTACTGGGGTGTCCCTCTTCCAGTATCAGAGCCAGGTAGCCGGGGCACATGCGTCAAACAAGAGAACCCAGTGAGGATCTTAAAATGGAAGAAGTTAATGTAACAAAGAGAACATTGTTATGGTATTTGATTATAACGGCCAGAATGACATATGCTCAATGTTGGAAGCAAGAAAGAATACCTGAATTACGGGAATGGATAAGGAAGCTACTTCTTTATGGCTGAAATGGATAAAATGACAAGAAAGTTGAACAATAAAGAAGATGAAGAATTTTTTGCGGATTGGAAGGGCTTTAAAGACTATATAGGGAAGCACTGGGATGTCAAAAATAAACGTTTTTTGCTTTAGTGATTATTAAGAATAGACTTTAGAAATGTTGGAAAGAAACTGTTATCGAATAGGTTACCTACGAGACTGAAAAAAATATAAGTAAGGTAGTAAAAGAAATTGTGAACCTTTAAATAATATCAAACTGAAGGGGAAGAGTAAGAGAGGAAATGGCTGCGGGAAGCCTGGAGAAGGGGTGGGAGGGGAAAGGGATGTATTAAGAAATGGGGAACTGGTTAATTTTGGACTTGTTTTATATCCCGTTAATACAAACTTGTTCTAATTAAAAAAGAGAGAGAGAGAGAACCCAGTGAGGTAAGGCGAGGGGGTTTAGCCTTCCTTACCTGCAAGCTCAAAAACAGACAGACACAATCCTTCACCTCCCACGACACATAAGCAGGAAGACAAGCTGATCAGCCCCCCTGGATTCACCCCTCCCGTCTAATTGAGTAGCTCTTACATGCCCTGGCCTGGGCGGCTCAGGCTAGCCTGATGTCATCACGTCCTGGAAGCTAAGGAGGGTCGGCCTGGTTAGTTCTTAGGTGGAAGAACACCGAGGAAGTCCAGGGTTGCCACGCAAGAGGCAGGCAATGGCAACATCACCGCTCTTTGCCTCTCGCCTTGAAAGCCTCATGAGGGGTGGCCGTAAGTCGGCTGCGACTGGATGGCACCTCGAACACAAAGTTCCTCCACTTCTGAATGGTAGGCTGGCTTTATTATCCACGCAGGAGTGGACACCGAAAGAACAGTGACTTGCCTAGGGCTACCAGAGGTCCATCAGTGGCTATTAGCCACAAGGTATAGATCCCCTCATGGATCACTGCCTTGTCGTGGCGAGGGGGCTTGCGCAGTTCAATGAAGCTGTGGGCTATGCCGTGAAGGGCCACCCAAGACGGACAGGCCACAGACCTGGTATTTCTGGCCACTGTGTGATACAGAGTGTTGGACTGGATGGGCCTTTGGCCTGATCCAACATTGGCGTCTCTTATGTTCTTATGTACCAGCATGCAAAGTCTGCAGCCAAAGGAAGACGTTTATGTATTTACTTCATCTATACCTGGTCTTTCTCCTTATCGGGGTACCTAAGCCACTTTCAACATCATTCTCTTCTCTATTTTATCCTCACCTGGCAGGCAGGTTAGTCTGAGACTATGTGACTGGCCCAAGGTCACCCAGCCAGGCCAGTAGCTACAGTGGGGATTTTGGGGGCTCCGCCCCTTTTCTTAAAGGCACAGCCCCACAAGGATTTCTCCTGTAAATGCTTCCCCCCCCCCCAATCATTTAAAAACATTTTTAAAGAGAGTGCCCTCCTTTAAGCAGAGTGGGGTGCTGCAGTTGACTGATTCCCACACTGAACAAGGGGGTTGGAGTGGGTGACCTCTAGGATCCCTTCTAACTCTGTGGCAAGAAACTTTAAGGGGTTTTTTCTGCCTCAGTGTTAGCTTTCTTGCCTGTACAAGTCATCACCACCCACCTGCCGGCTTGTGATCAGAATTGTTGCTTAGGCTGGCAGAAGTGATTAACTTGCAGCAGCTGAGAACTGTCATCTTAAGGTGGTTGACAGCTTGCAGTTTAGAGATCTGTCCTGGGAACCGCTTTCTATTGGCTAAATGGCTTTTCTTTCTGCACGGAGAACTTCAGCCTCACCAGAAAAAAAATCTGCCCCACAAGCCACGAAATCCTGGCTATGGGCCTGCACCCAGCAAGCGTCAAACGTGGGTGCCCCAGATCCCAGTCTGGAGCACCAACCACCAGTGTTCCCTCTAAGCTGAGTTAGTGTGAGCTAGCACACAGTTTTTTTAGCCTCCGGCTCATACATTTTTGTCTTTGCTCAGGAAGGAGGGCTCCAGAGCAAACTGACTTATGCAGCAGCCAAATCCCTCGCTCACAACTTTAGTGCCAGTGGCTCACAAAAGTAGAATTTTTGCTCACAAGACTCCACAGCTTAGAGGGAGCATTGCTAACCACTACACCACATCGCACTTGAACCAGAGACCTTCTGGCTCACAGCTTCATTTCTTTTAAGACACCTATGCATGTCGAGATCATCCACTGAACTTTCTTCCGTGGTCTTATCGCCTTTAACGGTCAGATCGGAATCTGGGTCTGGCCGGCTTTGCATTTATTTTCCATTCTGAGTGGCATCCCATCTCTTATGCAGGGACGGCTGCTGTATGAAGGATGACACATGCAATAAAGTTTAATCTGAAAAGCACTCTAGGCCGAGAAAGGCAGCTGCTCTCTCCCACTTACTCATCCAGTTCCTGACATTTAAGAAGCTCTGTTGACTGGTGAGATCAAACATTAACAAGAAGCCCATGGCGTCTCTGAAA